GGGGGGGGGGGGGAGCTTGGCCGCTAGAGGGGGGAGGGAGGGAGCCAATCCCCGCCGCTTGCTATCCATAGCGCCCAATCCCGAGCGCTGGGATTATCTAGCCGGGGCGGGGGGCGCGTTTGCAAAGTTAACTTCGCCCCATCATCCCTTACTTGTCGATGGGTCCCGGGGCGCGCAGGCATTCCTCGCAGTCCTTCCTCCTGACGTGGGGCGAGGGGCGGGGGATTGGGGGGTGGGTGGGTGGGGAGGCGAGGGGCCGGCGGAGCCTTTTAAAACACCCCCTCCTTCGTCCCGGACCTTCCACTTTTGAATGAGCCAAGCGACCATCCGGACGCCGGCCTCCCCACCCGTCTCCTTCGTCCCGACGCTCGCCTGCGCTGCGCGTTTTTTTTTTCGGCCGGGGGGTCGCAAAAAAAAGGGGGGGAAGAAAACCAAGCCGAGAGACCAGAGGGGACCCCTCCTCCTCTTCAGAGCCCCGAAGACAAAGAGGAAGCCAGCCCAAGCCATCCCACCCACAGCCAAACCAACCCGGCCTCTCCGGGTGGTGAAATTCCTGCGCCTTTTCGGGCAACTCTCTCGGTCTCCTTTTTTTGCGGGGTAAAGAAAGTTTCCGCGGGGTTTCGCCGGCCGGGAGAGGCAAGAAAGTGGGGAACAACCCCCCGCCCGCCCGCCCCACGCCACCTAAGCCAAGCCAAGGGGCTGACCGCTTTCACTTTCGAACACTTTCACTCTTAAAGCGGGCACTTTCCTTCCCATCTCCGCTGCCTCTTCTTCTTCTTCTTCTTCGCTTTCCCGCAGCAAGTTCGGATCGCGCGCAGGCACACACACACACCCCACCCGGGATTGTCGGAACCCCGCCGCCCCCACCCTCTCCGCCGCCGCCATGAACAGCAACAGCTACTACGAGCAGCCCGCGCAGGGTTACTACCAGCCGGGCGAGGAGCCCCAACAGGAGGAGATGCCGGCCACGGAGAAGGACTTGGCCGAAGACGCGCCCTGGAAAAAGATCCAACAGAACACCTTCACCCGCTGGTGTAACGAGCACCTGAAGTGCATGCACAAGCGCATCGGCGACCTGCAGAAGGACCTGAGCGACGGCCTGAAGCTCATCGGGCTCCTGGAGGTGCTGAGCCAGAAGAAGATGTACCGCAAGTACCACGCGCGCCCCAACTTCAGGCAGATGAAGCTGGAGAACGTGTCGGTGGCGCTGGAGTTCCTCGACCGGGAGCACATCAAGCTGGTCTCCATCGGTGAGTCCACCCCACCCATCCGCACAGACGCGCGCGCACACACACACACACACACTCCGGAGGGATTGGGGAAAGGGGGAAGCGCCCCGCTGGCTTGGTCTCATCCCCGCTGTCTCCTGGCTGGGGTGGGTCAGAGGGGGAGACAGGCAGGAGGAGGAAGGGAGAGAGAAAGGAGGGAGGGAGGGGGGGCTGGTAGAGGAAAGGGGACTGTGCCCAAGACAGGAGGGTTACTGAGTCTGGAATGGGCAACTTACAATGGGTTCGCCATGGCCATTTAGCCACGCCAATTCAACATGACCAACTCGCCGTGGCCAACTTGCTGTGGCCAACTCAATATGGCCAACT